GGGCTTTCTAATATTCTTCTTAAGCAGTTAATTTGCAGTCAACCGTTCTATAGTCCTCCCCCTACCTTTCTACCCTGTTTCTCTGTTGGCGACGACTATTCCCCCTCTGTTCCTTCTACAAATCACGTGAGTCCCCCTCCTCAAATAATCTTCCACCACCTCCCAGGCCATAAATAATGACTTGTTCCAAACAAAATGTCGTCGACATCTTCAAGTAATTTGCATTCAGACAAAGTTACTCTATTCTTCTCAAAAACATAATATAGTTTATTTCAATCAAATATCGCTCACATGACAAAAACGAAACGCTTGTTGATCCAAACTGTTCAAGATACGTATCACTCTAATAATTGTAGTATTAGTAAAAGAAAAGAACTGTTTACTTGTTACTGTTTTATTTTTATTTCATGGAACATTAAAAGCCAATTTACACAACCCGCATATGGCATTAGCTGGTCTTGGTGGGTATTAGTAATAAATAAGTAAATACCATTGAACGTTTAGATGTTCTAGGACTAATTCCGCGTAAAAAATGTTATCAGTTAGATAGCAGAAGATATTAATTATTATTATTATTACAACTGTATTCGCAACACACGATTGCACGATAGATGTGCTCTTTACGGCAACTAACTTCTCGGGGAGGTTCAAACTGCATTATTCGCGATTGAGGTCTTAAGTCGATCACTTCATCTTCATCACTGCAAATCACATACTTGTAACATGTTCTCGTTTGAACTCGGCACTTAAATCGCGGCCAATCAGAACAGGTGAAGGACGCAGTCTCAATATCCATACCTCCGGGACACAGTTTGTTTATGTTTTTAGTCCGCCTCTTTCGGATCGTATGGCTTCCTGCAACAGCATAGAGAAAGGAACATCAAATCGAGCTTCTGCACTTTACAATTTGACTTTACAAAGTCAGAGACAATAGTAAAACAACGTAGACTTTCTGGAAGAACTGAACATTCTGAACTATTATTGACGGGTGTTGCTGATTAAATGTGGGACTCAGTCTATGTTGCAGGCGCTCAGCGAGGATGCAAGTAACACGCGCGCAAGAGAGCAATGTGTCCTTGCGGGCGTGCGTGTGTGTGTACGTGCGTGACTTCCGGCTCGCCCGTACGGAACTGAATTACAGTTGTCCGAATAAAATCAAGCTCGTGCCACACAAATTGTATAAAATTTTCTTGATTTCCTCTCTAGATTTTGACAGTTTCGGTGTCTTACCTTCTGCTTGGACTCTTGTTGCACTAAGGGAATCTTGGGTCTTTTTTACATGGTATATGGAGTATTTAGCACAAAAATGCGCTAACTCCTCGCTGAGTGTGGACCGGTCGGTTAGCTGGCCGTCAAGAATCCAAGTGCTATCAACCCGCTTGCTCTCTGTCACAACCACCTGATGTAGTCAAGGTGTTTATTATTTTATTGTTTCGATTTAGTAATTTATGTGATATTCATTTACAGTTTGTGTCAAGTTATAAAGAGGCTAAAGTATATAATAATCTAAAAAAAACTTCTCAAAGTAGCAACGCTGTTGTTCAAAAAATAGAACAATCTCAACATAATTTCTTCAAAAGTATCAATTGTTCTCACCCCACTTGCTTTATCAAGATCCCTCAACAACTTTTCAGGAGTCGTCTGCTCCGTTGCGAGAGGGAACAGGTAGCAGGTATTCTGTTCTGGGGATCGCAGTATCGTCAAATTCTGTACCGATAAATCGAGTAAACAAAGATAAATCCAAATAACCGATAAGAAATACCTAACTCTTACTGGTAAGGAAGTTATGTCGCATTACTTTTTTGGTAGAAAGTGAAACGTAAAACATGGAAAGATAGACAACTGGTGAAGGTATGTAGCTGATAAAGGCAAGGATGGAAATGAATTGAAAAAAGGATGGAGAATTTTAAACATAGGGTTGCGTTCCATATCTGTCTTCAACTACTTTTGAAGGGAAATAATTTGTATAAATATGGAGCACCGGCAACCTTTCAGCATAAGTAGATCTTATTAACTACCAATGCACGCTAATTACTTTGACAGCGAAGAGGGGAGGGAAGGGGAGGGAAGGGAAGGGGAGGGGCGGAGGGACTGGGTAGGATGTGAGTTTCAATATAGCGGTTATGTTGTGTAACGCTTGACACAGCTTGAACACAATCACATGGGTTCACCAGGACAAAAAAAAAGTGCGACTTTGGGCTGATAACAGTTAGTTAGAAAGAAGTGATCTGCTTTGGCAAATTGCGTGGGTGACGTTCATTTTATGTGTAAAAAGAGAAAAATATCCGTGGCTAAACAGAACTGATGAATGTTGATCAAGAATTGGTCTACTCTTAAAAGTCTTTAAACTCACTTTGTTAAAATCATGCAGGATGTCGCCACGATCAACACCAGGATGGGCGGGAACTTGGAACAATTCCGTGTTCTTGTTTTGATCCACCTCAATTCTCTCAGTGTACTTCACTCCTGACTCGCTTATGTGAACATTGTAGTCTACGACCTTTAAGTATGAAATTATTATAAAAACGTTGGATAGTTATAACATGAATGGCCCTTTGAGTTCAGGGCAACTGGTTGTCTTTCTCAATATTGTTAGAGGAATCTTTGGGTGGGGACTCTCGTCTGCGACGAACGTGGGTTAGGCTCGTCGAAAACTCTTAAAAGCAAACCGGCCTTAACTGAAAAACAATTCTGGACTTTATTAAAGCTGTACTTGATCGCTTAAAGAAACCACTCAAAGAATGACTGATAAATGATGTTCACTCATGATTTTAATTTAATTTATTTAATTTAGTCCATTTTCACTACATTAAGTTTTGCAGTGGGGAAGGACTAGAAAGGAACATAGGAACCATTCGTGCTAGTCCACCCTCCCACCCATCCCACCCCAGGGGAGGACATCCATCACACAGTAATCTCGTGTGTGGGAAATTAACGTCTCCTACCCCAACCCTGCAGGAGACGGGACCTCCATTTATTCGTCCCTATCCGAGAAGACTAGAATATCTAACCATTTCTTGATGTTATAGAAAGGCAGCAAATTCTTCTCAATTATTTTAAGACCCTGAGTGTTGGTCCGGCCGGGGCTCGAACCCTCGACCTCCCGCTCCGATTGATGACCAATGAGAGCGCGCGCTTTACTTTGGTTATGTTATAAATGATGTTCACTCGTTATTTACACCCAAACATAAGCGCAAGATTAAGACAAAGTATTGAAATTGTTTGAGTGCACGAGAATATTGCTGATTGATGTTCTCTCGTACAATGTCACGATTAAGAATTCGCTTTGCGATAATCATTGTGGCGAATTGTTGTTCAGGAATCTTCGGTTCTTTAATGAGTAAGTCACTTCCTGATTTCGCTTCGGATGACTGACTATCATGATCAAAGCTCAGTCAGCTATGAGCTCGAAGATTTTAAAGTGAACTGGACGCAAATCTGCGTCTACTGCGGCTGTCAAAATGGTATTTGGGCATAGTTGCATTCTATACGAATTTGCTGTGACTCAGACCAGCTAACGCTCGAAACGTAAGCTCTTCAAAATTTGCTACGGCGGTTTTTTAAATATGCATACTCACCCTCTTTTTGCCTCTCTGCCTCTCCCAAACGGGATTTCCCGAGATAGAAATCGGCAAGATAGTAAAGACAACAAGTACTAACACCACTTGAAGGGAGGTTGACATCATTTTCTATCAAAAATATAGAAGACAATACAATTAAGAGAGATGTTTTTTCTTGTTCTCGAGATCGGCACAGAGGAAGGTAGGAGATTTGAATCAAGCGGTATCAAAACTTTCAATAGTTCACTTTTAAGAGAGTGTTGTGCAACCCAAACCAAAATGAACAAGCCCGTCTACCTTACATTTAACACGGTTGGAGATAAATATTTCCTTCGATGAGCGAGGCCCTCTTCTCTTGCAATAGGAGTGAAGTCTTCTTGTAGTTTTAAAACGTCTGCAAACTGCTTGCTATACCATAGCTGCGTTCTTTTATACCGACTCCGTAGCAAACAACTCACGTACATTATCTATAGTTTCAGCAGAGCCGGGAATGCTTTCCATCTCATCATAACTGAGACAGGCACGGAGATTCAGTTATTACAGCTCTCAGCATGAGGTCTTCTGACTTATTAAATTAGATGCAAAATGGGATGTATGTAATTCCGTAAGCTTGCCTTGTTTTCTTACTTTTAATATGCTCGCAGATATTTATTTCCATCATATAAATCCCTTTTTTTCCTTTCTCTCCTCGAGTTTGAAGACTTCCTCAGTTCGCACAGACGTCCCGCACAAACTGTTTTTTAATTTGAATTCTGCTATATTATTATTATATCAATAGTTTCAGCAGAACGGGATTGATAGTTGGCTCATTCAGGTCAAACAATCATGCACCGCTGGAGCCCGTTCTGCATGGAGCACTCATCTTCCTTACTTCGCGCTTGAAAAGTTGTCTTATGAAATTATTTTGATGCAAGAGTTTCTCTTTCTATCAAATTGAGTTTAAAAGACGAGTTTCTAAAACTTTTAAGAGGCTTCCTCGTCTAACTACTTAATAGGCGATAGACTATCGTATACACTTAAGTTTCAAGAAGTCCCTTTTATCGGACATTTAGTTTCCTCCTAGGACTCTCTTAGCGGCCTGAAGTTACTTTCTGAAAAGCTGTTTTCCGAACTTCCGGTTTTCAGTGCTCGACTTCCGGGAAGCTTCAGGCGTTCGTCGGTAATAAGAATGGTTTTTTGACGCTTGTACTGAAGGCCATAAGGTTACCGTTTAATATCACAGCACGTCTTTTTATGTTAATAAGAAGTTTAAAATTGTTTCTACCTCTATTTTTGAATCAAGTAGCTGCCCAAACTCATTCGAGGACTGGACTTACAATATAGCTGAAGATGTTTCAGTGTTACAACGATCTTATTTGAGGAGGCATGAGATCGATTGAAAACCTTAAGGAAGGCTACTATTGATCTTCATTGATTTTGTAGAAAATGGTGGAGGAACCTTTGGCTGAAATATTCGTGTTACCCGAGAGCAAAAACTAGGAAGTATTAGCAACGAGCAACACGCGCACACAAACACGTACACTGTGAAATCAATGAAGGTGGAAGAAGCAATCAAGGAAAGGGAAGTGGGAGATATTTTTAACTGGCTAGATATTAATATAAGTTATCAAACCAGTTTATAAACCAAATTATCTGAAGGCTATAATTGGGTTCAGAATTCTTGTTTTGCTTCTGCTGTCACTATAATCGTGTAGTGAGTCAATTTTCGCCAAAAAAGTGCATCACGCGAAACATCAGCTTTTCAAAATTCACCAGGGTGGTCTGTTTTCAGAGGAAATAGAACTTGTGGGAACTTTAGAATGTGTCTGAAATCGATCACAAGTGTCTAAGATCGGACAAAAATCGCCCATTAGTGTCTAAAAACGGACGCTAATGGCAAAATCGGACGTTAGTGTTAAATATATGAATTTCGTATATTCGTTGTGTTAGGAAACTAATGTCTAAAATCAGACACTAAAGTCTAAAATCGGACACTGGTCCAAAATGGAATACTAATGTACAAAATCGGACTTTAGTGCCCAAAATGCAGACAGGAGAAGTCCTCCTTTATAGAGCAGGAAGTGGAACAAGCGAGGAGGGGAGGTTTGGGAGTATGATTAACATCTTTGAGATGTCACGCAATAAGGAGCGGGCCATCCAAAGGTAGAAAGACTGTGGTTGAAAAAAAAGATGGAAAAGCAGTGAAGAAATTGGGTGCTTTTAATTATTTAAATCCAGATATACATTGCCTAGTTTGCTATGCACATCTAGAAAAGTGGAATGAACATGGAGTTAGTTTTTCAGGCTAAATATCATGTCAGCAGAACAAGCAATTTCAAATAATTTTTGTAAACCTTTCTGCTTAACAGTCACTGGCTGAATATTTAAAGACGCCCCTGCAAAACTTCTGAGCCTGTATTTTCCACAGTCTCTGTGGTTGGTTTATCAACATTATCACAAACATAACTGCAGCATTCGATGATTTTTCTGGTGTCGTGAATATTGAAGCAGCTCCATCCATCTCCATTAATATTCCATTCCTCAAGGAAAATGAAACGCTGGAGTTCATTATCCAGGCACCTGGTATTCTCGAAACACATGAACGTTTCGTTGCATTCCTTTTTGGGCTCGGGACATACTTGCAGGGCGCTATTCAAGTCCATTCCCCCGCGGCACAGTTTCGTACCATTCAGACCACTCCCTGACTGACGTCTTACCCTATTTGGCGATGTTCCGCCTTAGAAAAAAATATGGTTTTATGTCAGTAGCAACTGAGCAACTGCGCACCTACCTACCCCTCCCCTAATCCGGTAACAGTCAATTGACAACGTGTTAGGGTTACTTTGGTATAAGATCAACTTATAACCCCCCAATGATGTTTTTTGTTTATTCTCATCACTTGTTTGCTTGATATTGTATGGATTTGTAAGGAGAAATTCTGTCTTGGTCACTCATGGGAGTTAAAGGGTTAAAGTCTTGTTTATGTCTCACCTGTTTGTTCAGCGGTCACCTGTTCCCGTTTCTCAGTCACGTGGTATATCGTGTACTGAGCGCAATACTCGTTCAACTCTTCACCGAGCGATGATCGATCAGTTACTTCTTCGTCCAAAACCCACCTGCTGTACACGCACCTTGTCTCTTTAATAACCATCTGATGAAATGAATTGACAGCGATAACTGAACTTAAAGGGGCAGATATTATACTACAAAACTGTAAGTTTGCCCCGTCCAAATCAATGCGCAGAATGCATGGATTCTCGGCCAGTCTGCTTCTCTGGTATAGACTGAGCAACCTCGCCTTGCCTCAGGAGATGCCTGCTGGTCACCATCCAAGAAATGAGACTTATTACTGAGCCTGAGGACTGAGAGGACAATGGGGGGGGGGGATTAAATAATTCTCTGAGTGAACAGAGGGTGGTCAGTCGCCTTTGACAGAATTTAAAAGGGAGGGGGGAATTCAGAGTACTGACTGCTAATGAAGGAGGATCATTAGAACGCTACAGAACCTCGTAGGGGTGGAGGATCAGGTAGACTCTACTATAACGAGACCAAAATCCTCCGCCGCCCCCACTTCTACCCCCTGGGGATAAATAATGACCGCTTCCGATCCTATTCTCATGTCACAACTCAAAAGGCACTCGAGGAGCAAAATTGACCTAAAAACCCTGAAAGCCGCGTGATTCCCCTCGAAAAATTCTCCACTCCCTCCGCCCGTCCCAGACGCCCCTAAATTTAGACATCTCCCTCTAAAGTATTAAGTGGAAAATCAAACACCTGTATCATAAATTGATCTCTGGAAAAATAATGTCATCTGCGCGTTATCAAGTTTTGTACGAGAAGCTAAGGAACAAGGGAGAAATTTTGGAAAGAAAAGAGTTCTCGCGCTTATGACTCAGATCTTCAGTCAAGCCAGTTTTTGCTCTTAACTGGTAAAGGCACATTTTTTTCACTCATAAGTATTTACCTATCTATCAGTTAAAGAGATTTCGTGTTCTTACACACCTTAAGAGCTCTCTTAAGGTCTTTAATCAGCTTCTCTGGCCTCGATTGAGGTTTTACGAGAGGAAACAGGTAACAGATCTTGCTTTCCGGGAAGTGTGACATGGTCAAATTCTGGAGAGATAAACAAGAAGAGGAAATTAAAGAACTAAGAATAATGATTGCTGGTTTGCTGTAAAACAGCAGCGGAGGAGTGTGAAAAAAGTTTGGAAAACACCATAGGTGTATAATAATTAGAAGTAGGAAACAAAAATTAATTTTCACGAACCACTACACCTCGCTCAAAGAACCGAGTGCGGGGGAGGCTCCAAAAGGAGAAGACTTTTGTAAATTGATCTCTAACTGAGACGTCGCCATCTGAATTGTATTAAATATGAGTTCTTTTGAATTGTTTGCGCTTTAACTCTGTCAATGAATACGCTATAAAATCTTTACTTTTTTAATGAGATAAGGTAAAGGGTTATAGACGTTGTTAAATAAGAAGGATAACTCACGCTTTTGAAATCGTGTAACACATCGCTGCGATCGACACCAGGATGAGAAGGAACTTGAAATAATTCTGTCTGTTTTTCAAGATCCACTTCGATCTTCTCAGTTCGTAGCCAACTCCACCCTCGATGATATCCATGTTAAAATCCACGACCTTTTTGGATCAAAAATTACACTTTAGTCAACTTTGTCAGTTTTCAAATCAGTTTTAAATTATTGAATGACCAGACGAGGTGGACAGCTGAGAATTCACTTATGTATATAACAGGTAAATTAGATCGAGGACATACTTATTCCTTCTTCTGTCGCTAATCACTAGCAGGGCTGGCTGATGAAACACTTAGGACAACAAATACAACCAGGGATGAAAACAAACTCGCCATCATCGGAACAGAATATGCAGAAGTTCCTGTTAATAAAAAAATGTGGCATTCGGGTAAGGTAAGGTAAAGGTAAACTTTATTTGATAGGTAGGTTGGGATTGTTTGGCAGCCGAAGGGCTGATGTGGACCTACTATACACAATCAAAATTTGACAAACACAAAAGATATTAACAAAAGAATAAAAGCTATGTACAGGGAGAAAAACAATATATATATATAGACATGCAAAAAACTGAGATTTACAAGAGCCTAATTGAAATATTAACATAATACCAGAAAATACAATGCTTAAAAGTATGTAAAATCATCTTTTTTTGCGGTGATCAACGTCGCTTCCTTGCTAAAAGAATACTCCGCAATGTCCCTGGTGTGTTTCTTTAATATCTGCTTATAGGAATTGAAATTTTCAGGCACTTTAACTAGTCTATTTAAAAAATTCCAGATTACAGGGCCTGTGTACTGTAAAGTGTTTCTTCCAGTATCAGATTTAAACCTAATGATATTAAATTGATTAGAAAGCGAGTTGACCTAAAAGTTGTCTTTTTAGAGAAAAGTTCTCCCACAGATTGACACGAAGTTTCAAAATACACTTTGTGCATTAACGTAAGAACGGACTTTTTGAAAAGTAAGAGAAGGGTAGCCAATTTGATTCACTGAGACAGATATCATCAGCCAGCGACGGTTGAAGGTTGTTTATAACGCGGGAAGCTCTTGCGTGGATAGAGTTCAGAGAATTCATTGCAGGGGGTGAGCAGTTTCCCCATACTAAAATACTATATGTTACGCTGGGAATAATAGAATTGAAATAGATTTCATCAAGTGACTGTTTAGGAAGAATTTTCATTCTCTTTAGTGCTCCAACTTTTTGTGTGAAGTGCTTCTTCACTGAATCAATGTGCACAGACCATGAAAGTCTATTGTCGATTTTAACTCCTAGGCAAGTGGTAGAGTCAACCAGGTTAATTAAGCTTGTCCCAAAGTAAAGGGGAGGAAGAGGACCAACAAAGGCAGATTTCTTTAGAATCATTGCCTCAGTTTTGTTTGGATGGATGGTTAGTCGATTTTTTACACTCTACATGAGGACTTCTTTCATTGTTGCATTTAGAGATGATGTAACTTTGTCGACAATACTGTGACAATACTGTGACAATACTGTGACAATACTGTCGACAATACTGTGACAATACTGTCCTAATTTAGACACTAGGGTACGATTTTACACAATAACGCACGATATTAAACATAAATGTCTAGTTTTAGACACAACTGTCCGAATTTAGGCACCTTAGTCAGATTTTGGACGTTATTGTCGGTAAATAGATAACTCAGGGCCTGGCCGAATATGATTTTGGACTCTTGTGTCCAATTCTGGACACTGATGTCCGATATTAGACACTGTCGTCCGATTTCGGACACTAAGATCGGACACTAGAATCCAAAATCAGACTCTTGTGTCTAAATGAGACACTACACTGTCTAAAAGCAGACATTATGGTCTAAAAAAAAAGGGAGACTAGTGCCCTAAATCAGACATTAGTGCTCAAAGCTGGACTCTGAGGTCCACAATTGGCAAAAACCGTTTTCTAAAAACCAGCACTAGTGTCTAAATAATGGACGATACTGAAGCGGACAACCATTTTCAAAATCGGTCACTAGTTTCCAAACATGAACACTACTTTCTTCACGGTTATTTAGTATGCGAGCTTGTTGTACACTGTTTTCACTTAACTCGATTAAACAGGACGAGATTCTTCAACCTCTTTTTTCCGTGATAAATTCGTCAGAGCAACTTACAAGATGAAATCAAGCTCACTGATCAGAGGGGGAGGGTACGGGGGTGTCTGTTTCGTCAACCGGCTGTGTTGAAAATGTGGTGCATACTGCTGTAAAGAAAAGGTTATAAGGCACTCTTGTTTGTGGCATACAATGGCAAAATCCGCCAAAGTATACGTTCACAGCAGGGAAGAATGTTTATGAGGGCCAATCAAAAAGTAAGTTGGTTTGTAAAATGACCTCTCTATGACGTAATTTGAAACAAGACGACACGCAGAATTTGTTTTCGAGTTCCGCTGGCACAATGGAGCCATGCTAACATGAACTACCAGGGGATAACAGAGAATTGGAGCTCGCGCTAAGAAAACGTTTTTCAGGGAATGACTTAACGTTAGATTAACAAGCAGTGAGACTTAAAATAGAACTATTATTAGCACATTGTGACATGCTGAAACCTTTCCCAGACAACGCACGTGATTCAGTCGCCAAGCGAGCATAATGTACTTGTTACGTCCTGAAGCCTGAAATCTGGTTTTGATTATAAAGTCACTTGAGGTGAACCAGAATTGACCACGCAATCAACACAGTGTTAATGTGGAAGCTCTTCTAAACAGAACAGACTTTTATGGATTGGATCAACAAACTAACGAACCTACCCGAATTACACCTACTACGAGTACATTAATTGATCTGATTTTCACAAACCGGCCAGAGAATGTGTATTATACGGGGTTGTCTCATGTCGCCATAAGTGACCATAGTCTACTGAGTTGATGCATATCGAAAAATCTCAATTCCCACTCTCTCCAAGGGAGTTAACTTGATAACATATAGACAGTTTAAACATTTTAATAGCGCAAATTTCTATACGGATGTCGTAGCCCAACCTTGGGATGACATAAGGCAATTGTATGATCCTAATGATATGTAGAAGAAGTGGAAAGAATCATTCCTGAATGTGTGTGAAAAGCATGCACCGATGAAGCCCAACTCAAAAGAAAAGCTATCATAGCCTTTCTTTTGGGTTTCATCGGGGCAAGACAAAAGATCCATTTATTTGGAACCAATTTCGAATGGTTGAAAATCAAGTGAACTGGGAAATTAATAGCGCAAAAAAAGCTTATTATGAGAATGCCTTCAACAATTGTTGTGGGGATCAAAGGAAAACATGGAAAACAATCAATGAACTGACCTCACGAAAGTCCAATAAAACTGTTATTAATGAGATGGAATATAATGGGGTAAATTCTGCCAATCAAACAGATATAGCAGAAATTTTAAACTCATTTTTCAAAGAAATTGGACCAAGCCTTAGTAGAGACGTGACAGAAGTTGATAAATCCTTCCAAGAATTTCTTACTGAAACTGATAAAAATTTTGTTCTTGAAAAAACAATACCAACACATGTTTTTGCACTACTATCAAGGCTCTGCAAGTCAAAGGCGACTGGATTGGATAATATTTCTGCGAAACTTCAAAGGGAATGTCCTGATGTATTAGCGGAATCTCTTACTCGTACATTTAATGTAATAATAATAATTAATAATAATAATAATAATAGTAATAATATTGATCGATTTCTATAGTGCTGATTCGCTTTACAACACTGTGCGGAGGACTTTTCCAGACTGCCGGCGGCAATCCCAAATGACTGGCATCTTTCCTTATGAGTCGTGAAATCTGCCAGAGTCACCCCATTGTATAAAAATTCTGGGAAGCGCTCTGATCCGACGAATTATCGACCAATATCAGTAATTCCAGTTATGGCCAAAGTCTTTGAACGGTAATCTACGATCAGCTTTATCATTATTTAACCAAAAACAACTTTCTCTCGTGCCATCAATCTGGTTTTCGGTCTTTGTATTCCACGCTCACAGCACTTAATCGAAGCTACAGATAGCTGGGCAGTGGATATAGACCGTGGTCTTGTTAATACCGTAGTCTTTTTAGATCTCAAAAAGGCATTGATACAGTAGATCACGATATTTTGTTACGAAAACTGCAATACTGTGGGATTTCTTGGACCAGCCAACAATGGTTTACTTCTTATTTAGATAACCGAACACAAATTTGTCATTTAAATTCTTGTAAGTCAACTCGGAAATGTCTGAGATGTGGTGTTCCTCAGGTAACAATTTCGGGACCTCTTTTGTTTTTTATATATATTAATGACTTACCACATTGTTTGACATAATCTGAACCTACAATGTATGCAGATGATAACAGCCTGACGCTTGCCAGTACTGACATTGAGAATATCAATTTTTGCCTTAATCACGACCTGAACAATGTGTACGAATGGCTTTCTGCTGACAAACTAACCCTGAATATGATAAAAACTTTGTTCATGCTTTTTGCATCAAGGCAGAAGTTATCACAATTTACGGAAAGTCCCTCACTTATTTTAAACGAAAACGCAATCGAACAAGTAACCTCCGCTAAATCCCTTGGAGTTTATGTCGATCAAAATATAAATTGGGAGTGTCATATTGAAAACATCTCTCAAAAGATAGCTTGTGCCATTGGTGCGATGAAATGAATTCGGCATCTCACTCCATTTAATGTTTTAATTAAAGTTTATAATAGCCTTAGTCAACCACATTTTGATTATAGCAACATAGTGTGGGGAAACTGTAAGAAAGGCCTTTCTGAAAAACTACAAAGGCTGCAAACTCGGGCAGCTCGCACCCTAATGTCTGCGAGCTATGATAGTAATTTGGATGATTTGTTCCGGGCGCTAGGGTGACGAAGACTCTACTATCAAAGATTGGAAAAGAAATCTATCCCAATGTCTAAAAAATTACATGGTATGACACCTGATTATCTGAGATCAAGATTTATATATCGTGACAGTGTAAGTGCTTATCAGGCGCAGTTGAATATTTTTATAGAAACTGCGCGGTATAAATTTAAATTTAATAATAATAATCGTTTAAGGAATACCGAAAACAAATTAGTTCTTCCACAACCTCGAACTGACTATCTCAAGAGAAGTTTTTGGTACAGCAGAGCTCAATTGTGGAACAACTTACCTGTAGACCTAAGACAAGCGTCTTCGCTGACTGATTTCAAATCTAAATTAAATCACCACAGTTTAAAGTAAGATCTTAATTTTAAGTAAATTTTAGACACGGCCTCCATGAAAAGCAGAATTTTTTCTACTTATTTCTTTTATTTGAATTGTTATTATCAAATTATTATTGCAGTTAGATAGATAGGTTTCTTGTATAGATAATGAGCTAAATCAACTGATGGAAAAACCGTGTATAAATAAAGTTATCCTATCCCATCCTAATTTTCTATAGTCCGCCCCCCACCTTTATACTTTGTTGCTCTGTTAGCGACGACTGTTCCTCCTCCGTAGCCCCTAAAATCCATGTAAGTGAACCCCCCTGCTGTTTTTATTATTATTTCATTGAACATTGAAAGCCAGTTTACACAGCCTGCCTATAGCATTAGCTAATCTTGGCGGGTATTAGTAAAAAAATAATAAATAAGTAAATACTACACATTGTAAGCTATAGAGATTTCATTACTACTACAATATTACTGCAGTTATAAGCTATGTATTAGTTTACTACACTATAAGCTAAAAGATATGTACAGTTGTCATACAAATTAAATACAATAAAATTACTAGTACGTTAAACAAGACATAATAATCAAATACAGGCAGAGCAGATTGGAAAGTAGAGAGGAGAGAATTGTGACATACGGATGTGAGCGAAGTACTACAGTTATAATATTAGATAATCATTAATATTGAATTTCAATATTAGTGAATGGGCGTCAACATAATAGTCCTCAACCCCAGGTATAATCAAAGGCTACCTATGAATTTTCCTGTTAAATTCTCTTTTCGTGAGCTTACGCAAGTCAGGGTTTAGACAGTTCCATAACCTCGTACCAAACGCAGAGAAAGACTTAAATTCCTTCCCCCCCTAAACAAAAAAGAAAAATTTGGCACCACCTTCCAGGAGATAAATAATGACTGGTTCCTAACAAGATGTCGTCGACATCTTGAAATAATTTGCATTTATTAGAAATAGACGCAGTTACTTTATTCTTCTAAAAAGCATTATATGGTTTATTTTCAATCAAATGTCACTTACGCGACAAAAAAAAAAAAAAAAGAAAAGAAAAACGAGACAAAAAACATTTGTTGATAAAACCGTGTAAGATACGTATCGCTCTAACTACTGTGGTATTGGTTAGTAGAGAAAAATAACTTTGTCGGTCATCTATCGCAGCCATTTGATCTGGACGAAAAACATACAATTAAACCTTCAGACGTTCTAAGACTAATTCTTAGAAAATATTTATTACTTAAATATACAGCTGAAGATATTTTATTTTCAACAAATGTATTCACAACATACGATTGATCTCCAGATGTGCTCTTCACGGCAATGTTGCCTTTGGGAAGACAGATACTGCATCCTACGGTATCGGCGTACGTCTATATAACCGTCTTCACCATCCTCTCCAACGTTACTGCAGATCACATACTTGTAACATGTTCTTGTTTGAACTCTGCACCTAAATTTAGGCTTGCCAGAACAGGTACCGAAGGCAGTATCTAAATCCATACCTCCGGGACACAGTTTGTTTATGTGTTTAGTCCGCCTCTTTCGGATCGTATGGCTTCCTGCAACAGCATAGAGAAAGGAACATCAAATCGAGCTTCTGCACTTTACAATTTGACTTTACAAAGTCAGAGACAATAGTAAAACAACGTAGACTTTCTGGAAGAACTGAACATTCTGAACTATTATTGACGGGTGTTGCTGATTAAATGTGGGAATCAGTCTATGTTGCAGGCGCTCAGCGAGGATGCAAGTAACACGCGCGCAAGAGAGCAATGTGTCCTTGCGGGCGTGCGTGTGTGTGTACGTGCGTGACTTCCGGCTCGCCCGTACGGAACTGAATTACAGTTGTCCGAATAAAATCAAGCTCGTGCCACACAAATTGTATAAAATTTTCTTGATTTCCTCTCTAGATTTTGACAGTTTCGGTGTCTTACCTTCTGCTTGGACTCTTGTTGCACTAAGGGAATCTTGGGTCTTTTTTACATGGTATATGGAGTATTTCGCACAAAAATGCGCTAACTCCTCGCTGAGTGTGGACCGGTCGGTTAGCTGGCCGTCAAGAATCCAAGTGCTATCAACCCGCTTGCTCTCTGTCACAACCACCTGATGTAGTCAAGGTGTTTATTATTTTATTGTTTCGATTTAGTAATTTATGTGATATTCATTTACAATTTGTGTCAAGTTATAAAGAGGTTAAAGTATATAATAACTTAAAAAAAAAACTTCTCAAAGTAGCAACGCTGTTGTTCAAAAAATAGAACAATCTCAACATAATTTCTTCAAAAGTATCAATTGTTCTTACCCCACTGGCTTTATCAAGATCCCTCAACAACTTTTCAGGAGTCGTCTGCTCCGTTGCGAGAGGGAACAGGTAGCAGGTATTCTGTTCTGGGGATCGCAGCATCGTCAAATTCTGTAGCGATAAATCCGCAAGTAAACAAAGATAAATCCAAATAATTGTACGAAATACCTAAATCTTAATTGTAAGGATGTTATGTCGCACTTTTTACTTTTTTGGTGGAAAATAAAACGTAAAACATGGAAAGATAGACAATTGGTGAAGAAACGTAGCTGATAAAGGCAAGAATGGAAATTAATTCGAAAAAGGATAGAGAATTGCAAGCATAGCGTTGCGTACCATATCTGTCTTTAACTACTTTTGAAGGGGGATAATTTGTTCAATTTTGGAGGACTGGCTACCTTTCAGCATAAGTATATCTTATTAACTACCAATGCACGGGCTAATTACTTTGACAGCGAAGAGGGGAGGGGAGGGGGCGGAGGGACTGGGGGGCGTGTAAGTTTTAGTACGGTGTGTTGAACACTTGACACAGTTTGATTACAATCGCAGGGGTTCACCAGGACGAAAAACAAGTGCGACCTTGGGCTGATAACAGTCAAGTTAGAAATGTAATGATACTTAAAATAGTTGTGTTACAGATCCTTGGAATATTCTAGAACATTTTGTAAAACATATATAAGGAGTCGTGATCCGGGTAAAGTTAGTCTTTCTTTTAGAGCAGAGCCAGCAGTGTATTGTGGAACAGTGTGTTGTTGCGGAGTGTCAATAGAGTTAGTGCTGTCGTGAAGGGTCCAGAAGAGCTAGTGTTATTACAGAGCCGGCCTAGAGAGAGTTGTTGGAACCATTTATTGTTACTGGAATCGTCAGCCGTGTGGATGGCTACACTCGGAAAAGTTTTGTGGACAACGAGAAGTTACAAGGATCTTTGAAGAGAACTGTGAGTTGTGTAGTAGTGCACTGAGATTATAGCATTATAGAGAGCTCTAAGGTAAGAGGATAGTTATTGTAATGGGTATTGGTATCGCTCCGTAGTAAGATTATTACGTCAGCTAATAAAATAGTTGAGTTTGTACGAGTTGTATCTTTCTGTCGGTTGTAAAAATACCGTGACAGAAAGAAGTAGTCTGTTTCGGCAAATTGCGTTATTGACGTTCAACTTTATGTGTAAAAAGAGCCTGAAAAGAGCCGCCTTGGTTAAACAGTAATGATAAATGTTAAGCTAGAATTGGTTTAAACTTAAAGTGTTAAACTCACTTGGTTAAAATCATGCAGGATATCGGCACGATCAACACCAGGATGAGCGGGAACTTGGAACAATTCCGTGTTCTTGTCTTGATCCACCTCAATTCTTTCAGTGTACTTCTCTCCTGACTCGCTGATTTGAACATTGTAATCCACGACCTTGAAGAATAAATTATAGTTCTGTCGTTAAATGCAAGTTATCAGGACGTTAATCCAGTTTAATATATTATTAAATACTTCAGTTTTCCACCGGATTTTAGGGTCGCAGCTCACTGTGTTTAGCCTGAGGGAGTTCCGCGGGGAGCGAAAAGGACGGGAATACTTGACGGAACCTTTACCCCGAAGGATTACCATATGAAAAGGACAATGATACCTTACTGACGTTTTGTAAACGAATAATGTAAACGAAAATTCTTACCTTCTTTTTGCTACTTTTTTCCGCGCAATCACAAACAGGATTTCCCGAAGTAGACCTTGGCAAGATAACCAACGCAAAAAGCAATACTACCACTTGAAGCGAATTTGACCCTATTTTCTATAAAAAAATAAATAAATTGGCAATACACTATTAGCAATTGTTACAATTTAGACTTAGCATGAAAAATCTGATTGGTCGTGAGTATTCAATCAATACACAGTAGCCTGTGAAGTTGACATGATAATCCAACATCAACTGCGACTATTGTATTTATCATGTCGAGCCTGCCTATTTTTCAAGCCCCTCGTCCGTGTAGTGTACGTTATAAAACTTTTGCAAACTCAGAAAGAAGTGGCTTCTTTTGCGATTGTCTAAAATAATGTATAGTCAATCATTTATTGAATTTGGTTTCGGCATGATATCATGGATTATTCATAAACCTCGTGTTTGTGTTATCTGACCTCGGTTTTGATAATTCGTGATATCATGCTCAACCTCATCCAATAATTGCTTAAGATCTTGAATTTGATAACAAAAGATTTTAAGTTGACCGATGCGACATCGTAATTCGCAATGGCCCGTAGCGATTTGCAATGGAGTGTCGTAAAACCAAAGTAACCCCAAAGGCCAGTTAGAACATAAAAAAGAGAAATTCACAAAGAGCTTTATAATCAATGAAAACTCAGGTAAAAACAACTGTGTGGAATTAGTGAGGAGCCCACACTGTCACTGTTTTCTTCCAGAATTTATTGCTCAAAAAAGCAGGCAGAACAACGTTACGCGAAGTCTCTGGCCGACTAAAAACTACTCACAATGATTTTCTTATCTCATGATCACACCTTGATCAAAAAGTAAGTTGACTGGCTATAAAGTTCTTCCCAACAAAGATAAACAAACTGATTTATCGGAGCGGACAGATCGTGACACTCGATTTCCGGCAAATAATTTGACTCGTTACAATACTAATTATCCTGTTTCCGACACAACCAAGCAACCTAAGCGAAAAAACGCTATGAATAAGTCGCGATTGGTCAGTTTTAGTTTGGCTTCCAATTACTTGAGAAGACTGGAGCGTAGAGCGTAAATTAAATGTGAGAGAAGATTACTTTTGACAACTGCTCCAAAACAGTTCTACTTAGCCGTGTATACTTACATTCAACATGACTGCAGGAAAGGTGTATCTTTGATGACGTTCTTTATTTCTTCTCGTCGGTCTAATAGTCTTTCTCTCACTTGAGCGCTCACAAACTGCTTATCAATGCTAAGGTGGGTTCTTTTATACAGTCCCAGTGGCGTGGAGCTCACGGACATTGATAACAGTTTCAGCAGAAGGTGATTTTCATCCTGCGCTATGAAGACAAAAATACCATCCTCAAGTTACTAATAAATCCGTTTCAGCTGACCTTTTGATGAGCAACTTTTCGTGACATTGTTTGTTGTCATTGACTTCCGGGAGTCTTCGGTCTTGAAGGCCATTTTAAGAGTCCTCTAAAAGCATTCTTCGCTGTTTATTATTCAATTTTCGCATCATTTCTTTTTATTTTATTGTAAAATGGGAAATTTGAAACTCTGAGGGCAGATAGTATGAACAAGTTATTTTTGGATTTAGGACCTTCCTTAAGCAATCATGACACGTTTACAAGCATTGAGCTGACACAAAATCTGTTACTTTAGTCTGAAGTCCTGAAGCGAATTGTATGGGCTTTGATGCTAGTGGCTGTGAAAGTTAAAGATTGCTGTGCAAAGCAATCAAAAGGCAATTTTTCTGGCCAATGGATTGAGTTACTTGCCCTATAACATTTTTTAATCCAGCTATTTCCAATAATGATTTTATTCATCTCACAATTATAACTCCAACTGTCATCACATTAACGGCAGTCTACCTTTTGACCTCAGGGCTAAATAAAGTCTAAATATCGACCAAAACATTGCTTTTAATTTTTCTGTTGTTGTTCGTTGCTGCTTTTTGTTTTGTTTTGTTTCTCTTCGCTACAACATTAGATTTCTCTGGTATTTTTAAAAGCAGGTCACTGAGTTCAAAAACTCGTAACGGGCAAGATTACCACCCCCATCAGTCAAAATAGCGATCAAAACGTTTCTTTCACGTACACAGTAGGTGTGCGTTGTCCGAATCGGCCTGGGGAGAGATAAGATAAAGGTAAGAGAGCGTCCTAGTGAATGTGACTCGATTTTTTGTAACTATAACACAACCCTTTAAACAAGACTTTTCTGGAAAATCCGTTTTTTGCTACCGAAACAACAAGGAAATGGCATCATGTGGCACGTTCGCATTGGTAACAAACACGCGAACGTAATATGAAACCTTATGGGTGAACGCAAAGAAGGAATAGGGAAGTGGAAGACTAGAAAGTTTTTAATATCCGTTAGAGCTTAGGCAAACGTTTAGGAATTCCTGCATTGCTACTTCCGCGACTGCTAACCCCTTACGTTAATTCCTGTGGTACACAAACAGCATATATGGGTCTGTTAAATCCGCGAAGCTAATGGCAGAGTTATCTAAAAGCAGCACTCAGAGGTATCCACTTAAATTTTTCGCGGAACAAAGTAAGGCCTACCGAGTGCACTCGTCGCGACTTTGCTGATGTGGTGTCGACTTCACCATGCTCCTTTAGCTCGTTAAATAACTTATTTTACCACTTTCGGCAAGAGTCCTGCCATCCAAACATTTTCCTACCTGCTTTCAAAAAGTAAACTTCCCATTTTTGTTTCTCAAACAACCACTGCCATTGGAAACAGTAGAGGTATCTGGCAATTTTGAACGCTCTTTGCGGCCATGTTTGTGTACAACTCGCCCGCGGATCTGATCGCATCGCACGCGCCATCGCTTATTTCTCTCGCAAGTAATTTGCTTGCGTGTATCTTGGAGTCCATTCTCCACGCGGTCAAAAAAATGACGTAATCATCTAGGAGGCGCACATTGCATTGTGGTCTTAGTAGTCACGCATTCGAATCCCTATGTCGAGCGAGCCATTGCGAGAATCAAGAACTTTCGCATTCTCAGTACTACTTTTCCTATTGCAATGGCGGCAGACTTGAACAAAGCATGGGTTATTTCTTTTTATCTGACTAACTTTTTGCCACCTTTAATTAAAATTGATCAAACTAGGCAACAATAAAATAGAACTAGATTAAATTGTTGATGGCCGGTATAATGGCCTATGCTGTAGGTATGGATGAAGTTCCACTTCCTTTTTTGCACGAATTTTTTTCATTTTCATCTGAGTTATGGTGATGATAGTATTAAAGTTTTTGCAGTTTAAAATATTCCTCTGAGATAAGTTTCACTTCCATTTTTGGCTAATAATAATAATAGATAAAATTTTGCAGTAACTGTTTTTATTCTTGTCTAAACTGTTGTAGTAATTTATTTGTAGTTTACAATTATCCCTCACATGAATGCAAGTGTTTCAACACTTTCCTCTATGATATATGTTTCCATTTATACCCTTTTATACCCCGTTTGTTTGTTAACCCTTTTTTGCATTTGTTAACTTGCTCAATTTCTTCCATGGGAGAAAGTATCTATCAAATAACAAAATGCTATCAGGGAGACATAAAATTATTTTAAATTTGTTGCTCCGCTAAGGGTATAATCAAAATATATAACCCCTAAAACTAGAGTTTGACTAGGAAAGCTTGAAAACAAAAATGCACAAACCAATTTTCATTTCTGAAATACTTAGTCTGAGCAATATTGATGCTTCTATCAATGATATCTTGCAAGTTATTCTTGAAGATCATAGGTCAGGTGAAGTGAAGTAAGTCCAGGGAGCACTGTGTTCTCCCAAACATTGCAATCCTTATAAATCGCGTCCACATTCGTGTACACAACAAAGTCAATCCATGGAAGTCCTTCTGCGCGCGCGACTAGTGCGCGCGTGCTTTAGGATTACGTATGTTAAAAATATCAAAAGCAAATCACGCGGACCCTTTTACTTTGACGTGTGGAATTTTCTGAGAGAAGAGTTTAAAAGTTTTCTTTAGCTTATCGACTGGCGGTTTTTTTAACGGTCGTTGTAGTTTACCGAGAGTTTGCAGTTTTCCGTGTTGGAATAAACGTGTTTGTTTTGATTTTCCGTTTCGCTTCCAAACAAATATCGTGTCCTTTATTCAAGGCTTTTTAAAGTGTCTAAATTGTTTGAAATGAAAGTGACGCCTGACCATAAATCGCTACATTTTCCGCAGAGCAGGTTTCTGCTCTTTGTGCTTCCTCCAATCTGTCACAATTAAAATGTGATTCCCAGATGAACTGTCACGTAGTTCTTCAACCAAAAGTCACAATCGGTGCGTCGCTCAAACTCCCTTTGATTTAACAATCGGGTTTTGAGAAAACCTCCATAAGGTGATTGCAAGTACATAAGCACGGAAGATTCTCCTTTCTGAGCCGCTTACACTGTTTGGAGAATCCCTGAGGGTTTTTATCAGTTTCCAATTTCACTATTTTCTTTTTGTCTTGAATCACCAAAGGATAGTCCACGTGTCGATAGTTTATTTATATCAGAAGATAGGTGTAAGTACTTGAAAATGGAAAATGAAAGTTTAGTCAATAGTAGTGTGTTTAAAGTTGAAGAGCTTCATTTAATGTAAGCTTACCGTGCAATGATTCCGTTTTTATAATCCGGCACTGTTTACCAAGGTATACAGTCTTGTACTCTGCTACTTAACGTTTGAAAATGTAACTGAGTTAAAGAGTAGAGGACAGCTTTTTTATGACTTCAGCAGGCGAACGCAAATTTTCAATCCGCCAAGTTTCTATAGTGTACTTCAACCGAGATAAAAACGCCGCTAGATTATCACACAGAAGAACTTGTTCACTAGCCAATTCTTTGCAAATAAGGAAGTTGAAGTGTGTTTGCAGAAAAGTGTTTCATTAGAAACTGAACTTTATTTCCCTTTAAGATCGTTGGCATGTATTTCATGCTACAAGAGCTGGATTTTGCCTTTTAATTGCTTCGAATAGCGTTCTTTAATTAACACAAACATTGACATCAAAGCCCATCAAATTCGCTTCAGCGCCTAAGACAAAAGATATTGTGTCTGCTTTGCGCTTGTAACTACTTTCAAGAATAACATATCCATTACATTAGTCCTGAGAAATGCGCCTCTTCCATTTTACGTTAAAATAAAAAGATATGATAATAATAAAAGTGATGATTTGTAATAATAGCATTTTGTATAAGGCTTTAAACTACGTACATAATTCAAAAGCGACTCAGTAAAGCCTATAACATCACAAAACTACAACTGAAAGCTTACTTAAAAAGAAACATTTTAAGTCGTTTCTTAAAGCTAGGCCGCTACAGGCTCTGATTAGTAAGGGCAAAGAGTTCCATAATTGGCAAGTTAAGCGTAGCATGAGCGAGGGTGCGATGCCCAAGTGTGGAGCAGTTGAGTCTTGGAAGGCTTATACTATTTTGCGAAACGAAACGAAACGAAACGAAACGAAATTGTACTAATTTGCGAAACGAAACGAAACGAGATTTTGCAAAATGGCGTTTTTTCGCCTTTATTTAGCAAATATGTCTTCTTCGTCTGAAACATAATGTGTCCACTAATAAAATGATCAATATTTCCAAGAGTCTGGTCACCTTTCTTTTATTAACCATAATAGTACTCGTTTCGCAAAAGTAGCAATTTTGACATAATTACTATTTTGCGAAGTGGCGTTTTTTCACCTTTATTTAGCAAATATTTCCTGTTCTTCTGATACAAAATATTTCCACTAATAAAATGATCAATAAAATGAGCAATTGAGAACAAGAACAAGTAGTTCCTCGCTTGTTGACCGCCATTTTGTCGATCCGCTTCTCTTGTCGATCGCCCCATTGTTCTCGCGCAGAATTCTGCGCCAGAACAATGGTTGGCCATATTTGGAGGATTTCGATGGCCTGACACTTGTAAGACAGACGATCGACTTTGGGCAAGCGTACATTTTCCAAGAATCTACCCGAACCGACGCGAAGAAGGACAGCCGAAAAATAAAAAAAAGAAGAAAAGAAAAAAAAGGAAAAAAAAAAAAAGAAAAATATTAAAAAAAAGAGAGAGAGAGAGAGCCGCCTTGAGGGTAAACATATCTCAACTTCTTCTTTAATTAACTCCCAGAAGTGATTAACCTGTTATTTCTTCCTTTAATATTCATGCATGATCCAACAAACAGGTAATGAGAATACTCAAACTCATCAGTTACAAGATGTTACCATGATCGAACACCCAATTCTCATAACCTATCTACAAGGAAATGTGTGGCAGCTAGAGGAGAGAATTGACAATGACATCTTGGGAGTTTCAGCGTTAAGAGCGTGTCATCAGCATACTTTCCTCGTCTCCTGTTCTTGCAGGTGATTTGTTTGTCATTTAGAACCCGTCGGGCCGAGAGTTGCATTTGAAGCCCCCCTCACACGACAACCTACTTAGACTGAAATTTCAAGTCTGGTTCTCATTGGTGGAGTTTCTGTGAAAGTGTCCATGTCCTCACCCTGACTATGATTACTGTCTGCCATACAATTCTTTAATGAAAGTTTAATGATATATTACAATATTACAAAAAATATGCACTGCCCGCAGTTAGCAAAGGCTATTCGAGGCGGGCAGTGTTGAATACGTATATTACAAAATAAAAATATTTACAGAGCAAGACATTAAAAATTCTATACAAATTACAACTACATTAATACATTTAAGTTACGGCAAGAAAACAGGACAAGCTGTGGTCTTATAGTTGTGCTATTAAAGTAGACAAATCAATATAATCGTCATATTTTTCGAATGTCTGGAGGAGGAAACCATAAATTTTACTCTTAAAATTGTACTTTGTATTCTTACGACGTCAGTTCAGAGAATTTGGAGCTGGAGCAACTAGTAATCCCCTAACTGATAATTTTCTTTATTGTCATCACTTGTCCCCTTGATAATGTATTGATATTGCAGGGAGAAATTCTCTCTTGGTCAGGGGAGGCAACACAATTTTTAATTTAGTTCTGGGGCTTTGCATACAGTTTGAAGACAGTGAGTACATTTTCTTGCTTAGTTTCCTTTAACACGGGAGAAAAACACAAGCCCTAATATAGTAGGCGCTTAAACATTTCGACAGAAATCAAGGACCAGTGGAACTTTGAATCCTGCATTATGGCTAAATGCCTTTCAAACCAGTGGGTCCATATCAGACGACAGACGCACATTCGTGATGGTTCCCGCAAGCATTCACGGCAGATCTGCAAAGAACGTCCGGGGCCCATGCAAATTTGAATCAGGGCTCCTTGTAACTGAGGAAATAGCAACAGCGAAACGAGAATTCTCTGCAAGTCACATAGGCAACCCGTCCAGCCGACCTCGCAGTTACCACAAATCATGGTCGCGTCCATACTGAAACTTCCACACATATAACTTTATTTATTCTTGGATTTAGAATAGCTCGAGAGAGAGCTTAACATATCCGAGTATAGTTAAGATTTAAGAAATACAGCAAAATGTATAAATACAAATATATATATATATATATATATATATATATATAATTATAAGTAGAAGCTTGTAAGGGGTCCCACAAAAAATGCTGATCAGTCTCAAACGCGCTGTCTGGAGGATCACTGAGGCGATCGTGGGCTCTTGAAATAACGTAAATAAGAGCTGAAATGTAATGGTCAAGAGGCCAACTCCAATGTAGCTTTGTTGGTTTATTAGCTCGACGTTTCGACCATCTCGGTCTTCCTCTGGAGTATACTAACTACATGAGCAATATTCAAATTTAAAATTCGTAACAACAGTAAACATGTCATGACGTAATAATATAAAAATAGAATAGATAACAGCGAAACGTGTC